ATCATATCCGTTCAGCCACAGCTCAGGGTGCAAATGGTCACCCAAGGGTTTGCCAAATACAAAATGATTACTGCATACCTTTGTGTTTTCTGTCACCTGAAAGCTTTTGCGGTTGATAATTCGCTCCCATACTTTAAAGTGCTTTTGATTCGGCTTATGCCACTTCATACAATGTATATGGGGTTTCACAACCCACCTGCAAATAATAAGGATTTCCATCAGCCACCATAAGTTGCTTGTATAAGCTAATTAACTTGATGGCCCCAAGAGTGACTAGCATCTAATTTCTCCTTAAAATATCACCCTTGAATTACACACTGAAGTCGTGAGAATAAAGGAAGTGATGAACAAATAAAGAAACTCTTGATGGTTAAACAACTTCTTCGTTTCAGTTCTTCGGGAAATGTTGAGAGCTGAGTGGAGAATTTGGATGCAGATGTTGGGGTGTAAAGGGTTATTACATCCCCTATAATATTGAAGAAAAGACTTATAACTCCTGCCAAAACAAACAAATCAACAAAAGAATGCCTAAAACGCTCTAATGTTATAAAAGCACCACAGTTCAATGAGCACGCTGACAGGCGTCTAAATTTCCAGGAATTCGGCATCAATTCTTGAAGATCACATGCGAAAAATATTACCTTTCTGGATACCTCCGATCATTTCGACATCCAAACACGGCGCAATGGTCACCTTTACCCATGTGTATTTGGCGATATCGTCACGTCCGAGAAAATCTCCATGAGTTCACAGCGTTAACCACGGGCCAGCGGCCAAGACAATGCACCCTTTTCGAACCACAGCCCTTTGCGAAATCAATATATTCAATAGGTCTAATATCCTCAGGTATCTTGCCTGGAATCAGAACACAGTGAGCGTTACGAGATACTTTAACTCATCTTCTCCGCATTTTATGATCAAGAAAAAAAAACTGAAATAACGATCAAGTTATCAAAACCGCCAGAATTTACTGTTGTCACATGTTATGGTCCTTACATGACATATAAAGGGTTTCATGAAATCCGCTGTAATGGAAAGAGTGTGCTGTATACTTTGAAGTTCCCATAGCAACCACAACCACGATCGCCATGTTGTTTTTTTTGTGACTGCGTGTGACACTGTAGATTTCATTCGAAGTGATTTACCGTTTCAATACTCCCCGATAGTTTTGAGTTATGCCCCCGAAAAAGAAGGGAAAGAAGAGTGGAAAGAAGAAGAAGAGTGGTAAAAGGAGTGCCAAAAAGTCACCTTCTGCAGCACCATCGAGTGATGTGCTCAATGAACTTTCGAAGGAATATTTTCTTATACAGATACGAGATTTAGAAGAAAGGTTAGTTCGCTATCAGAAAAAATGCGACGAGCTTGAAATTGCTAATCAGGATTACAGATCACAGTATGAGCAACAAACGACGGATAAAAAGGAAATTGTGTCGTTTTTGAAGAAACAGTTGGAACAAAGAGCGGACGAAATTGCTGATCTTCAAGATCGTTTGATAGGATTACAGCAGGCCAAGGATGGAGAGAAGGATCAGTACGAAGTACAACTGGCGACTTTAAGAACTGAAATGCAGGAAATCAAGGACCAGTTAACTTCAGAGAATATGGTTCTGGGCGGAAAGTTAGCCTCTTTAGAAGAATTCCGTGTTCAAAAAGAAGATTTGATGGCAAAGTTTGCGAAGATGGAGGAGGAATTGGAAAAACAACAAAAGGATCATAAAGAGGTTATTTACAATCTGGAGAGGAAGGCCGTCGTGGACAAAGATAGGTCTGTAATTTTAATCCCTTTGTATGAAATAAATACACGTTATTATGCCTCCTGTTTAACATAATTTGCGAGAGTTATTTAATTTGTTATGTGCGATGCCACGTCAATTAGACATTAAGAAATATCTAACTTTGCCAGGCTTGGTTTTTTGAGGTGATTGAGATGAAAGAACCTCAGCAGATGCGGTAAACGTAATAGAGACTGCAGGCAAATTGCTAAGATACAAGATGCTTAACCACAGATGGTGACAGAGTAAATAATCACAATCAGTATCCCACGTGTACTGTTTCAAAAATTTTACCGACCAAATCACTATTAAATAGTGATGGTTGGAAAAATTTTTGAGAAAGTTCAAAGTTTGCAGCTCTTTGACTATGGTCCATCATGTCTATATTGCTGTAAAGGTAACCACTATGTCATGTTTCTCTTTAAAAAACAGGAGTGTTCTCCCTAAACTGTCTTGTTTCACAACACTCAGAAAGGCATATTTTCATAAAGTTAGACTGAGCAAGTGAGCAGGCTCTAGTTTAAGTGCTGTTGTGCAAAGTAAAAAGCTGTGAGGTGTGTAATGGAGAGGGGTATACAAGGCATCTGTTCATTTTTCTACCAGACTGTTATCACAATCACTATGATACTTATGCTTGTTACCTTCATTTCTTTGTACATAGGTTGAAGAAAGAGATGGTACTAAGACTGAATCAAGTAGCTGCTGAATTTAGAAAAGTATCAAACAAACAGATGGCTGAGACAACCAAAAGAACCATTAGAGAGAATGTCTCTATCAATGCTCAGCTGGCCAAAATGTCTGATAAAACTATGGAACTTATCCAGGAAAATGATGAGCTTAGAACGAAGGAGAAGAAAATGAAAATGCAGGTTGACATGCTGGAACATAATGAGAAAGAGCTTGCTAAGAAGAACAGTAGTAATCAAAAGGTACTTACCAACAGCAGACTGTCATGTACAGAGTTTGTGTAATCAAAAAGCTTAGTGACAATTTTCCATAAGTGATCAGCAGTAACCCAGTGATAGCTCTGGAAGCTGTATCTGCATACATTTTTGATAAAACTTTTTTTTCATTTAAATAGTTTCTCTCCTCCACATCTTTATAACTGGAGTTACATGTACTGTTGATGTGGGAGATTTGAGCAGTAGAGCTGTGAAAATAAGTAATAAAGCTGCTGAAGGAATGATGGAATGTGGGTTTTTGCACACATTGCATCACGTGTAATGAGTATGAGTTACCAGTCTATTAATTACAAGCAGGTAATAAGCAGCAGTGCCACTTTTCATTAGTGCAGGTCCTCCACTTGTATTATTTTCATCCATAAACCACCAGCTTAAGTGGTATTTGTGGTCTTAACAGTGAACCCCTCTTGCAATCTGCTGAAATGGTGAAATACATGTATGTGGAGCCTCCCTATCTCTTCAAGGTCCTAAGTTTCAAATTGCAGGATGTAAAAAAGCCATGTATGTATTCTTTCAGATAATCCGTATGTTGGCAGAGAAAGCTAAGCAGCAAGAAGAGATGTTACTTGAATATGATGAGAGTGAGGCAAACAAAAAAGACTTGGAGAGTGAACTTGATCTGCTGAGAGCTCAGGTTGACAGTATGAAGGATGAGCTTAAAGTGAGTGTGATTCCTTTTGTTTTTATTTGTGTTTGCTGGAAGTACTTTAAAGTTGATGTATAACGGTGTTTGAAATCATGAACTGCTTTTGGTATGTATTCCTTTTCAAACCTCTCACAGAGTTTTGAATTTTCTAGTTTTACCAAAAAAGTTTGCAAATATTCATGCACCTTTGATTTGATTTTGACCAATCACTGATCAAGGACTTAAGATGAATGAAGTGCAGGAGTGACTCATAAACAAACCTATTGACATAAATTGCTTAACAAAACTTTTTCTTGGTTTAAGTTTTCTGAGGTTGATAGTTAGTAAGCAGCTCTTTATATACTCCAAGTATTATTTTAACATTGCTGAAATATTAAATCAAAACTTTTTCTCTTAAAAATTTGAAATGTTAGAATTCTTTAGAAAAGTTTTTTTTTTGTTGATACATATGGTACACCTTATAGGTATAGATGAATGTAATTAATTTTATTGCATTTTAATGTTTGAGCAGAGCACAACAGAGAAAAAAGAGTCCTTAGAGAGTGAACTTGCAAAAGTTACAAAGGACAGAGACCTGTCCATGAAGAAGAAAGATGAACTGACTGGAATTTTGTCTCAAGCAGCACAAGCTCTTAGATCTTCATTAGTGGTAATAACTGTTACTGATTATGGTTTTGGACTCTAGCTCTCAAGAACTCATTGTTATTTCTCCCCTCTAACTGCTACACATTTCCTTGTAGATTACAGTAGTTACAACAATTTTGTGTTAGATCAAGATATCATAGCAACCTCTACCTGATAGAATTCTCATTACCTGTTTGGTGGATTATAATGTACTGACCTTATAGGGAAAAGTTACATGTTAATCACTTCTGGGTGTTAATTAGGGTTAAAGGCAGCCTAACTGAATAAGTGAACATTTGGTCTTCATATATTAACTGGAATGAAATCAATTGCAGAAAATTATACTTTAAAAACTGTAGACTTCAACAGGAATTAAATTTATGCCTTAGACAGGAATTGGGCACCACTTTAGACTGCTTTATAAATTAAGAATTGGGAACTGTGTACTGTAAAAGTTTACACCAGATTTTGACAATAAAATACGGTAACCTTGCCAATTAATGCAGGGCGTGAAATTGCACCTAATACAGGCACCAATGTGACTAAATTTTTCACTTTGGCGACCAAATCCTGAAAATTAGTCGCCAAATTGGCGACTAGAATGTTTCATCATAACCTTACTTAGAGATATAGTGAATTAAAAAGATTTGCAAAGATAACTCCGCAGCAAACTTCCTTGTTAAGTTTGTTTCCAAAACACAGCACACTCATCTTGATCTATAACTAGACGCCATCTTGGATTTAGGTGAGCTGAATGTTGCATATTATACATTTTAGTGTCCACTTTGTAACACATTAAAGATCTTTTCCCTAATTTAATTTCCAGAATGATGACAGCGTAAAAAAAGGTTTTGATTGTCTTTGAGAATGGCAACCAACCTTTTTTGAATTGGCTACCACTTTGAAGAATTTAGGAGCCAAGTGGTTATCAGAAAAAAAAAATAATTTCACGCCCTTTAATGCAGTGCAATCATTGATGGGTCATTAAACAAACAAACAAACTCAGTTATAAAGAATATTCCTGAAACTGTTAAGCTAAAATTTAAATATTAAATACCTTCATCCCTTGGTTTTCAGGCACCCACTGTTGTCAATGGAAAGCCTGATGAAGCAGAAGCCATCTCTCAACGCGAGAACCTTGTTCAAACACTGCTAGGAATTTTGAATGATGCAGTTACATTTGGTGTGGGACCCAGTGCCAAAGATTTTATGCCACCACGTAAGACTAGTGGATACTCAAGCCCAAGCCCTGATATAGGACGACACATTCATAGAAAAAAGGAGTAAGTAATCAGAAGGACTGCTCTGAATTTTCATTTTTTAAGTTGTCAAGATTTATTACTTCTTTTAATTAGTAATTGGTAGTAATAAAGCATATCACCACATAAGCTCAACCTTAAACTCCTATGAGTGACCAAGAAAGAATTTCTCCTTACAATATCAATAAGAAAAGTAATAAGAATAAAGAAAAATATAAATCACGAGATTATTAGTTGACCCAATTCTAAATTTTGAGAATTGTATGACAGACAGTAAGATGAATTGCTAAAAGATTTTGGGAGTGAAAGAGGTTAAATAACATCCTTAAAAATGATCATTGATGAACAGTGTGTTAAGCTTTGCTGTCCAATAAAATCTCAAGTGAGATTTTACTTCTTTGAGTTGTCTGCTTTTGAAGAAGGAATTCTTTTTACACAACAAGACATAACTTATACTGACATTGATGTTTGTTGCATATCAGGACACTCCCCTCTAAGGCCCAGGCTGTGGCAGCAGCAGTGAATCGTCCACTTCCTCATTACAAGCTAGGTGATTTGGGAATAGTTCCCAGGTCTCATCCAAAGCTTGGAGAAAGGCCTGGGGCCTCTTCGCCATTGGCTCCTATCAGTCGGCAGACTAGAAGTGTTGGTGTACAAACAGTC